AATTCGTACTAGTACATACGAATTTTTTTTTTTATATTTTAGTACTTTCGAAGTCTTTTAATAAATGAACGATACTACGCATTGTTATAGTTTTGTCTAACAACAAAAGTACGTTTAGTAGTAGGTGTAGTATCAGATGTTTTGGTTTGAGTACCGCAAGTGCAAGTTGAACCACATTTACATGAGTCACCACAGTTGCATCCACTTTCTTGAGATGACATTTTTATCAATTTGATAAGTTTATCCGTTATGGTTTTTGTAAAATCTTTCAAATATTTATTATTATCGCAAATCCCATTAAAGGGGATTCCGTTAAAGCCAGGATATTTATTATTATCGCAAATTCCATTAAAGGGGTTCCCGTTAAAGCCAGGTTCGTTCATGCATAAATCATATTCTTGATAACTATATATAAATAGTACAATAATTGCATCAAGAAAGTAACCCTACCCTGAACCTGGCTTGAACCTGGCTTTAACGGTTCCCATTAAAGGATGAATTAATTTCCCTATATAGTTATGCAAAAGCCATTACGTAACAAGTAGTGTCCAGGGATTTCATTGTTTAAACAATGAAAACCCCTTGAAATCGCATAAGTCTGGACATTATATTAACAAATGCTATAAACGACGTACGTTGTATTCATGTGAAAAATTCTTTAATGCATTAGATGAGAATTTTTTCATATTGATGTCTGGCAAGTTTCGTGACGGAATACATTATTATAAATATGAATTCCAATTAAAAAAAGACATCTACGTACGCCAATCAAACATATTAAACTTAAATGACATATATATTTGATATCAATGATGTCACTTCCAAATATTGTTAGATATTAATGTTAATGTTAAATTCATACCGATACGTACGAAATCGTTCTATAAATACGAGTTTCACAAAATTAGTAAAATTTTTTTAAAAAAAAACATGTTTTCCACCCAAAATCAGCAACCTTCAAAAAATTCCACATCCTCAGAAAAACATAATGCAACACAACGTTTAGCACAATTCGTTCAAGAAGACGATTCTGCAAGATACGTTATTCATTCTGAAAATGTAATTTGTCGTGATACTGCTTTAAATACTGGCTCTAGAATAGAAGCAGAAGAAACTAGTGAGAAGGAAGTGACTGGAGGGACGGGGAAAATAAGTTGTGTGAATTTAAAAGAATTGGATAAAACTGAAATATTTGCTGAAATGCAAAAGCTAGGTTTTTTTTGTGCTTTGCCACAAGATCCAAAGAAGAATGGCATAGAGTGTCGGAAGATTTAGTTTACAATCTTTATAAAAAGTGACAATATTTGTGGTGGGCATTTTGTTACAACGACATGCTCACGTAAAAAGTACTAATTAGTTGATACGATAATGAGATAATAGTGCAAATTAATTTTTTTTTTTTTTTACATTCTTTTAATAAAGATATTAAGCTTAAAATTATTTATTTTATAAGATGACAATATTTATATATTTATATATTCATATAGCTTAGGTGGAAGCCGGATCGTGAGCTTTATATTTCTTATAAATACCTTATGATTTGGCGATGTTAAAATAGATCTTGTTGTTATAGTAGCATGTAAATGTAGCCCATATTATAATATCATAAACTAATAAAGATTTTACAATCAAGAGGCACTTTTGTAGTAAAAATTTAAACCATACGTAGCATTATCCATATCCGCAAGATGCTTAAATAAAACTTTACCCGTTTTATTGTCAGTATTATTAAAAGTACCAGAAGAGGCAAATACAGTATATACATTTTCATCGTATTAACATAAAATAATAAAACATATCAAAGAAATTAAAGAAAATTTTGAACTTGAAAATACTTTGCAAAAATATGCAAAATTTTTTTAAGGAATTTATAATCTTAAAGTAATATAAATTTTTTTTAAAAAAAAACGAGGCCTTGCCTCAGTTTTCTTTATTGATTTTATTATGTAATACGAATGCTTTACACAAACTATCTATGAAAAACTGAAACTAGGGCTGATTTACCCTCGACCCAAACTTTCCCAAGATGGGCCGTGGTTATATGATCGTTGCAATGATATCAGGTAAGCTGTTTTGGCAAGCGAAACGGTGGGCCCATTCGCTTAGCTTCTTCTGTATGCTGTCATTTCCTGTTGTTATTTGTGGATTACTGCTACTGTGAATGTTGTCTATGAGATTGATTCTGTAGGTTTTTTGAAAATTGGTTGGGATCACTAGGGCATACAAAAGTGTTTGACATCTTGGAATCCAGATGTCTTTGCAGTGTTTTACTAATTTTGTATAGGATTATACTTGTTAGCTTGTGTTTGTTTTTGCTTTTGTACTTTATGTGGTTAGTATTTGGGTTTGTTGTTAGGATAAAATACTAGATGGCTGTTTGGGTTGGTACTTGCGAGTTGCCATGTAGGTTGTATATTTTTTTTAAATAGTTTTTGTATATTCAATTTCTATTTGCAGTTTATTTAATATTTTTAAGATAGTATTGGTAGTTATTTTTGCTATTGTAGCAGATAGTTTAGTATTTATTTGTTTTAGTAAAGGCTTTGTATTATTGGCAAGTTGGGATTGGATAGATATTTGGGTTATAAATAAATAGATTTTGGGTTATATATAAGTAATTTATTTAAAAAAATATATTTTAAATATTTTAATTTTTGAATAAATAAAAGTAGTAAAATAATTAATAAACTTGTAAAACTTTAAAAATTTATAAAAGATTTTTTTTTTTTTTTTTTAAAAAAAAAAAAATATTGGCAGCCTTGCTGGTATCTTTTATTAGATCAAAGTATATTATATACATGTACATATATTTAAACTATCTAAGCTGCAGATCCGATATCACTCGGCTTTCCTCATAGGTGCCCAAGTACGGTCTGCTTTATTCATCAGCAAATTATATAAACATAATCTTACGTAAGTTATTACGGACTGAAAAATTCTGCAATAATTACGATCGACGCGAAATATTTTGCAATTTTTAATTACGGAATATTACAAAATATATTACACTATATTACGAAAAAAATTTCACAATATTTCGAAATAATTTGCACTAATTCGAAACTAGAAAAAATAAATTAGCTATAAAACTGGAATAAAATAAATATGTTAATTAAAAAATGCGAATTAATTCAGGTATATTAAATAAAATTTGAACTAGTTTGAATTGTACTAAATCAAATTAT